CTCGTAACTGACCCACTCATAGGGTCATTGGTTACCTGGACACATGAGCTTAGTGGCCCCAGGAGTGTGAGACACGTCTGCCCTGCTGTGGAGCCTAAAAAGCAACCAAGCGGTACCCATAATCTGCTTCCCCACAGAATGATAGGCAAGTACTAAAGGATATCAAATTTGACTTTCTTTCACATATGTGTCGCAAATGACAAAGATTGCATTACACACAATAGCCAAGGTCACTTGCAGTAACATGTCTGATGCAATTTACAGTACAATCTTTTGCTAAAAATAGCACTTCAGAAGTGAAATCCCTTTTGCCATTTGAACAACTATACAGGCTGCTTTCAGTTCTGAACCATTTCAACAGTCTCAAAATAAAAATAATCATCTCTGTTATAAAAATCAGCGGTCAAACAGAAATAGATCCCTAAATGGTCTTTTAGGTTTGGAACATTTAAGGTCCTCTGGCCTCCAGATAGATGTCCTCATGTCGCAGGCAGGGACCAAATGGCCTTTTTTTATCCCTGTGTAAAGGGTAGTTGACCTCCCGTTACTCTGCTGGTGCCAGAAACCTCAGTCCAGTAACTGCTCTCAGCCTCTGAGATAATGTCATCTGACACGCTCTGATTTGGGAGATGTAATTGCACCCCACACTGTTGTAATTTCTCATTCATGCATGCTCGAACGGTGACTTATGCCACTACTAATTGCCCAAGCCCATTGACTGCAACCCTGGCACGTAATGATGTACCTTAATAGGCACTTTCTTTGCTTCACAAAAATATTGAACTAAAGATTAAAGTTTAATACACTGTGTTTATTATTTGTTCTCTGAGCAGAGTGAAGTCATTCTTACCTCAGTGGACAATAGAATGGCTTTAATATTCTTCAGGGTTTTCATTAAATCTGATGCCAGTGATGGTGACATCATTGTCTACTTGGGCCCCAATGCAGCAGGCGTTAACATTATCTGTTTATTGTGTGATCCATTGTCCTGATCTTCTGCTTTTGTTTAAACAGGTGGGTACAGTCTCAACGTGTTTGCTGTAGCCTTTGTTAGACTAAAGAGGCAGTGTGTGGGGGGTTCTAAATTGATATATTATGCCTGGGCCCCTTCTCTGTTAATTGCAGGAGGAATTTTAAAAGAAATATAATATGAAATAATTTTTTTACATTATAAAAGTAGAGGATTCAGCAAGGAATTGTGCAAAAATTGCAAGAACAAGTGCATACACATACAACGTGCCAGATGTTCAGTCCTAATCTTCTAATAGTATTGCTTTGGTTGCAATGCACCTATGTGGTTTATGACCAATAAACACATATTCTCAAAAGTCTTTTTTACTTATGTACGCAAAAATGTTCTCCAGCAACACTTCTGTGGGTCTTGAAATGAAGTGAAAGCAGGAAGTCTTTAAAACAAACCAGCCAAGACAGGGCACTGTGGCACTGCAGGGGATACTCTCTGGGAAATTAAGACCCCAAATGTAATGTGGTGAAAGTGACTCCCCATCTGTATCTTGTAAAGACTTTCCAAGCTGTAGTTAAATGGCATTTCTGCTGTGGGGTTGCAGTTCCAGCACAACAACTCTTTGCTAAGCTGGTAATATGTTTAGTGAAGCTAAACTAAGGCATTGAATATTTAACACATGTAATGCGGTCTGATATTACTACCATGGTTAAGAGGTGGTTAAACTCATCTAATGTCATTATTTATATAGAAAGAGCTATTATTATTTTATTGTATAATTTAAATGATAAATTAATCTCTTTATGTGGTGTAGAAAAGTTTGTATAAATTAAATGGGGGGCACGTGAAAGCATTTAGGCCTGATTACAGCCTCATAATTTGACCGTGGTCATTAATGCATAAAGCTACAAATACAAACCCACTCAGCTGTGTCCACCTAATGCCTTCACCATGGAAATTGCAAGGGAATTTACAGCACGTAGTAAAGACTGTGTAAAGGGATTTGACACTTGAAGCACAGCTTTGTAGAACCGCCCTGTTGTACTTACTGTAGACTAACTTTATCTGGAATTCAAAAGGATGTATCACCCTACTTCTCAAGTTTACATTTAAGGAAAATATAGTATTCTTTTCATTATAATTTATATACATTTTTCCCAGCATCAGATTGCTGTGAAAACTGCAGAGTCATGATCCTCTGGACATTTGTAGTAGTCACACACAGAGTTGTTCCATCTCATCATTTAAACTAGTGCTCACTTTGTTGTTACTTTTTACACTCCTTGGAACACACATAGCTTCCCCAGGCAAAGGCTGATTTCACTGGATCGTAACACCTTTTATTAGACCTACCTACAGCAGTTTTTACTGTGCCTCACACCTAGGGGACCTTTAAGCTGTACTTCCAGAAGCAGTCACTCTTCCAAAGCCTATTACATTTCTGTTGAAAGCCGAGCCCCCAGCTGAGAACATTGCCATTGAGTAAGAGTTTAACTTAGCAACATGGCCTTCTGCACCCACTTGTTTGGACCAAGCCAGGAATGGTGGCCAAGAAAAGTTCCCGACTTCACACCAGGAAGGATGTGACTGCTGATGCATGCCAGATGAGGAGACACTAGACGGAATTTTAAAGCAGCTGCAACCATTTGCGACATAGGAAAATATATGGGTGTTTCTCATTATTTCAGTCTAACAGCAGAGGTGAAAGGCTTTGATGGTTTCAGGTGTGGTACACATTGCAACATCATTGACAAATATAAAAGTGGGTGGCTGTTAAATATATTTCAGATTCAGATTCCCCTATTGCATTGGATAATAGTTAAAGGTTGCTGAGTTAAGTCTGCCAGATTTGGACTGAGGAATTCAGACAAAGATCTATCCAAGGTCCAGAAACAACACTACAAGAACTTTTCCGACTGCACATTTTGTCATCTAGACCCAAGCCCATGTGAAGAGCTAGAGAAGCAGAGCGTGACATTAAGGTATTGTTTTCCATGTTCTTAGACATTACATCATTGACGCCTAAAATCATGCACTGCAGAGTACAAAGATTAAACTAAATGTAGGGCTGAAGCCCACACAGCTTTGCCAAAAATAATTGAAAGCTGTGATGTCTTCTCAGGGTTCACTCTCCACTGCCATCATTGTACTGAAGAAATATGCCTCGTTTTATTTCAACCCAAAATAGCCCGAAAAAGTCACACTAAGTTGAAACAGCTGTCACTACACAACGGTACCTTTGTAGTGTGAGGATACAGAACAGTACGTGTAGATTGCAGCAGTTGCAACTATATGGTTGTCATCAAAGACAGTCGTTTGCGACACAGCACTAGCCAGTGATGGGCTTTCATTGCTAATGTATTCTGACTCAAACAATATGTCACCTCTGGCACGAGGCAGCATATGTAAAACACTTCAAAACCACAGTGTATTTGCTAATCAAGCTGTGCATCTCTCTGTGTCTAGAAAAATGAGAGGCACAGACAAGGAGGAGAACATCTGTAATAACTTCAAAGCGGATGAAAGAATTGATCAGAAGTAATGCAGCCAATTGATCTCAGATTATGTAACTAACATTCACATTCTATCTCAGGGACAATTTGAAATCCAAAAATGATCTCACACACAAACAAGAGTTTTTCACAGCATTACACTGTCACACATGTCTCATAATTATTTGCCAATATTCTTAAGCCCTTTTATTTTTTGGTAAATATTGCATTGTTGAAGGGCACTAGTGACATTTAAAAAAATGTTTTGCCATATCTTATAATAAATTATCCTTTTCTCTTTGCAGTCATCACCCATGCCTGGGTGAGGTAGCTGTCAGTGACACCTAGGGGTGAACATTTGTAGACTCCATGTTCTTGACTGAATGCTGAAGTCCCAGACAGCCAAACTCTGGGTTTACTTAAAAATTGCAATGCAAGAATGACTGGCAACAAAACGTTCAAATGTTTACAGTTTATTATTAAACAATACAAATACCAACAATAACAAAATCAATCAAACTTTTCACAAATGATTCAGTTACTTGTGTCAGCCAACTTCTAAATGGTCTGCTCTTCACAATTACTCACCATGCAGAGCAGACATTTCTTGCTTGGTTTGGCCGGCTAATGTTTAATTTGTGTCCTAATGGCTGTCATTTATCTTACGTTGTTGGAGTCAATGGACAGGTAGATCTATTGGCTGAGTGTCAAGGATTGACTGAACCTTTAAGTTATAACTCGAGCAAATGTAAGCAATGAATCCTATCTTTTTTACACCGTGTAAGTGAAGTGTTTAACCTAAAGGTCATTTCGATGGATGTTTTTGATGGTGTTGTATTTGATTGCTTTTGTTGTTTAAAATTCTGTCTACCACTAATTATAGTATAAGAGGGACATTATATTAGAAACAAGTAATTGTATATGACAAAGCACCCCTACAAGAGCCGTAAATCTACACACACCTCTGAATCAATTAAGGGCTTTTCGGTTGGATTTGAATTGTATATGTGTGCCTATATGATGTGGTATCTAAATGGCCTTGAACCTGAATTGGAGTCAATTTGCTTGTTCCCCACTACATCCCTGGAACGTATTATGCCAAATGGGGATACTATGCTTATTGAAAGCATGTGGGGATGAAAGACACCATCATGTTGTGCCATCTTTATGTAAAATACCACACAACATTATTTAAATAATGTATAATTCTATAATCCACACTTCTGACAGGGCGGCCATGGGACAGTTTCACTAAGAATGCAAAAGCCTTGCATGTTTAATGTTAACTTTTGTAGTTTAGTATTGCTTATTGAATAAGATACCACAAACACAACAAGCTGTTAACAAAGTGCACTTTTTCAGGAACTATTCTAGACTATTTACTAATCATGTCTTGCAACATGAGTTTTTTCAATTAATTTATTTTCTATTCACTCAATTCAGGAAATAAAAACATACACTGTACCTTTAAGAAAGAGCGTCATGCTCCATGTTGCACACATTGTCGATGACGTCGACCCAGTACTCCCGGCATGCACACTGAAAGTCCAATTATTGCTAATGGCGCGTATTTGCTAATGTAGTATTTTAAGCTATTGTAAAATAGTGTTAACATTAATTTAACACTGGGATTTGAAACTGGTCGCTGCATATTTCAGGCTGTCTTCAATGATAAACAGAGCGAGGATCCTGAACTAGAGGACTGGTAACTGTGATCATATTCATGTGCTTTCTGTTAATAACTGACACACACTGAAACTGAACCGGAATACGGCGTGTGTTTGAAATAGCTTCAGTAGCGATGTTAGCTCTTCTAAACCTCCGTCCCAGAGCCACAACTTTAAAACCACTGCACCACTAGCTACATTACTGTGACGGCGGAAGTTTAGCTAGTACACAAACGTGGTGTTCATTCATTCGACCGTTGGGATCCGTGCCAGTAAATCTCGGAATGTAACGGAAATGATTTCGTTAAGACTACCCGTGTCGGTTTTGTTATTATTAATAACCGTTATCCTAGTTAACGGTTCTTCAAAACTAAACATTCCCAAAGTGTTGCTACCGTTTGCCAGAAGCACAAGAATCAACTTCACGTTGGAAACTACTGAAGGTTGCTACAGATGGTGAGTAGAGTGAAGTAGAAGGGGATCCTAGGGCATGCTTTGTGAAGGAGTGTCAGATTGCACGGGGCATGTGAGGCCACATGGTTAGCTATCCTGTATACTAGTCACTTCCTCGCAGTGTGTGTGGGCCTTAAAACAGCTAAACTGCTCGAATATCAATGTCTGATTTCCTCTTTTAGCTTTTCTTCCGTTTGCATATTTAAGCCATCCATGTTTACAGTAAATATGGAACTCCTCCCCAATGATGCAAATGTATTTCCCACCTTATGATGATGATGATGATCATCAAGTGCAACATTGTTACTGTGAGAAATAAAGAACTACATGGCTTCTCCACCTGTGTACATAACCTGATTGGTTTATGGTCCTATTCTTCCAGGTCTTCCACCAGACCAGAGGTGGCCTCCATCAAGGCTGTGGATGAGGAGATTGGGAGAGGCTGCTCCAGGAAGGCTGTCCTCCAGGCTCTCTCCACCCAGCACTCCAGACTGACCAGCATCATACTGGCTGAGGATGTTGGTAAATACATGGTTGCTATATTATTCAAAAAATAATATGCAAAGCTATTTACTTCCTGTCTGCCTTCTTCTATTCATTTATCTGACGTCCAGTGCTCCATCTTATAACCTTCTTTTTCTTGATCCTCCTTAGCAACGGTCATTATAGTCCTTGATAGCGGTCTGTTCTACTGTATTAACAACCTGTCACATGTTCTGAATTGACCAATCAGAATCGAGTATAGTTGTATACTCGATTCTGATTGGTCAATTCAGAACATGTGACAGGTTGTTAATACAGTAGAACAGACCGCTATCAAGGACTATAATGACCGTTGCTAAGGAGGANTAGTAGTAGTATACGTATACACACACACACACACACACACACACACACACACACACACACACACACACACACACACACACACACACACACACACACACACACACACACACACACACACACACACGATGAGACTCCCAGGCATTTTGTCTTCATGCTGCTGTGTTTCTTGCACTCGTTGATAGTCAGGTGACTTGCTTCGTGCTGCTTACATTTGCATATGAAGGAGGACATCTCCTTAATGCTTAATGTGGTTTATGAAGACAGGTATATAAATAGTTTCTAATGAATGTATTAATCATCTTAATTAGTGAGCTCATTAGCATGGCAGCTTATGATTAATATATCATTTGTTATTATAGGGGGATGTTAAGCAGCAAGTGTTTCTTCTTGCATTGCAGTGGATGAACAGGTTGCTCTCACTCTCATGGCTGCAACATGTGAGGAAACATATGTTGTGATTATTGTTTTCTTCTATAAATGATCAGAAGTAGTGAATGGAGTTCTGCTTTTCTTCCACTTTCACTTTGCTGCTATTATACAAGAAGGAAATGATAAGTTCTCCACATACTCTCTCTTCCTAAAGTCAAATATTGCATTCTTTAACAATGTGTTTTCATTGACATTGCTCTGCCAGTACATTTATATAAAGTTCTTATGTTGTGCTCCCCTACTCACTGTACATGTCATGACCTTTAGTCCCCAGTGTATAAGTATGTTGGAGTATACAGTATTATAGGCCATGGAGAGTCATAGGTCCGATAGTCTGCTGGTTGTGTCTTGTCTGATAAAGAGCTCTACTGCTACAACTTGTACGTAGATCAACAGTAGAGCATGTACTCGGTGTGTATCCTGTGCACGGTGATGCGTGGCTGGTCAATGCCGCTGATCAGCCCTGCGGCCCTGAGTGGCTCGATGGGGGTGAAGGGTGCTGTGTCCTCTGGGATGGAGGGGTATAAATACTGGAGCTCTGGTCTCCCACTGCCTGCTGGAGTGGGCATGAAGAGCAGTGTGCGCAGAGGCAGGACGAAGAGGCTTAGCGGGGCTTTAAGAGGCTGAGAGGAAGCACCACAGGTGAGGCTCTGCAGGAGAGGAGGTGTGCAGATAGAGAGTGTGTGAGTTTGTGATGCAACTTTTAGTGTCTACTTATCTAAAGGGTAGAAGGCATGTCGAGTTTCAATGTTGTTTTTGTGCAGTTGCGATCGTGGCAAGAGATTACAAATGATATATCAAAGATTTGTTTCTATCAACCTGTTTGCTTTTTGACCCAAAAGTCAAGCACTTGAATGATAAGCTTCTTAGCCATTTTGATCCCAAGTTGTCAAAGCTTCAATGTGGGTCACAGGATCCTCCATGTTGGTCATTGATCTCTGTTGATTGTAGCACAGTAAAGCAGGTCACTGATTTCCTAAACTGTAAAACTATCAATTCTCCTCTGCCCTAAAGCTCTAAATCCCAGGATAATTAAAACTGTAGGCCACGGATAGAGGACATAAACCATGAGAGCCTGACACAGACATTTTCTAAAGGATTAGATGAGAAGCGTGTTATATATTATATATAACTCTGGTTCAGAATTGATTGAGGAATATAAATATAACTTCAAATAATGTGGCAATCATTCAACATGCAAACAAATAAAAACAAATAATAATTGTAGATTTTGGAGTGACTGAATGAAATCTTTGGGCCGATTTTGTGATTTGATGTGTTTTTAACTTTGAAGTTTATGAAATCATGAAATGTCTCACTGCATGATGTTACTGCAGCGACACAGATACTCTCTTTTTTGCTGACACTTACTTTGGCTGGACTGGTGCATCTCGTCTGTCGTTAACACTGAATGGAGCGATATCAGATGAACTTATAACATAAGGGATCGCTGTTATGGCAAGAAGTCAAAGCAGCATTGTGTAGGCAGCCAGCAGCCCTCAAGGTGCCTCTCTAGGTCCCTCTCTAGGCACTCTCTCTGTTCTGCAATCATACCATCTCTTCTGGTAAATGAGATGTTCTTTCACATGTCGTTACTTTGACTTCATTTAATCTTTTTTTTTCTATTTTTTCCATTTTCTGTCTTTTCTTCATTTGTCTTTTCTGAACACATTTACTCCTTGTGTATACCTCTCCCGGCTCTTGAACCTCATGCACCTGATTTCCATCTGGCGGTGGTGGCCTCTCTCCTGCGGCCTCTCCCTCCCTCTTCTTGACCCTGATAAACCTTCTCACCCGTGTGCTCCCTTCTGGTTGGAGATTGCAAAGTTCACTTCAGCTCCAGTTGCGATGGAGGACAGTGACCATGAGGTGCACTCATCAGACGAGCATAACTCCTGCCCTGCCTCCCCTAAACACAGCATACCAGACCATGTCCCTGAACAGGTACCGGTGACACCTCCAAACCCCTAAACTACCAATGAGGTTCCCCTTCTTATGGCAGTCTTTGAGGGATAAGGCCAACTTAACTGTACCTGCTTACTTAGCCACGATAAAAAGCAATGCATCTTACCCCTCAGCTGATGCTTAGTGCATAAACACAACACGAGTGCAGAGTCACAGTATAGGCCTTCAGCTGACTTTAAATGGCATCATTGCGTTCTATAGGGCCCCTGCGTTATTTATCTCTGTGCTCGACTAGCTTTAGTTTCTAGTAACATGAGTCTAGAATATGCATAGCAGCCTCAGCTGTGTATCCGCTTACTGGAAAAACTACACTTTGTTATTTTTTATTTAAGCTTAGTGTGTATTACATCTAGAAATCCAGGGATGGAGAAAAACTTAGCAACCCTAATGCCTGAAATTGCCCTATTAATTTAATAACAACCATAAAAAGGCCTTTTCTTGCCTCACATTAGCTCTGCAAAAGTTATGATGTGTCAGGAGATTCATAATCCTTGATGTAGGAAAAGCTCTCTCTCCTCTTTCAGGAATGTGGAGTTAAATGTACGCCCCAAGTATAACAGCTCATTCAATATTAGTGATAAAGTGACACTTATCCACTGAGATAAATGTCTGGGATTATATTTCACCCCTTACATATTGTACTCATAAATGATTATAGAAAGTGATGACCAGCTGCATTGCAATGATATGTTTTTTATTATTTACCCTCACAATAAAACTATAGCAACCGTTAGTAAGAGTTTAACACATTTTCCACCGTCTTGATCTCCTCTCTTCCACATCGACACTTGACCTTTCCTCCACCTCCACCTCCACCTCCACCTCCACCCTCGACTTTTTTCCACATATTCCTCTTCACCTCCTAAACCTCCCCCTTCAACCGTGGCGTCCCTCTAGCATTCGGACCATTCAGACGACTCCGAGGTGGAGAGCTTTATGCAAGACCCTCACCACCAAGGAGAGCACGACCACCATGACCACAATGACCACAATGACCACAAGCAGCACCTCCATCACGACCACGAGCCTCACGATGCAGGCAGGGAGGCTGAGGGCGAAGACCGCCCCCACACCCCTTCATATTTACGTCCCCCTGTGGCGGGCAGGGCTCAGTCGGATTCAGGTTCAGAGCCCTGTATCCCAAAGAGCAAAAGTGTGGCGTTTGACTTGCCGTGCCCCGTCAGCCCCCCCAGACCCAAGAGTCCCTGGGCTCGATATGACCCGTACGACAGTAATAAGGTAACACAAGGACATAAACCCACTGAGATGTTTGTGTTCAGTTCTGCTGTCAACGCGATGTTTGTTTGTGTCGATCACTTCAGACTGATGACGACAGTTTGACTGATCCTGTGCCTTAAACTCAAAGTTGCTTTATGTGGTTATCAAAAAGGTTTAATTGTGCTTATTTCCTTCTGGTGGAACAGGGTGTGATTAGGGCTCTGTGATTTTGTGTTTGTGGTTTATTCCGGTCTCACACCTTTTGTAGGAAATATACCTTAAAACCTATTTTTGGAGAGGTTCAAATGGCGCTGAAAAATTATAGTTTTATGGTAGTTTTGGCCTTCCTGATGTGGTGTTCAATTTTTTTTTTAGGACCAGGACAAGGAATACGTGGGCTTTGCGACGCTGCCAAACCAGGTGCACCGTAAGTCAGTAAAGAAGGGGTTCGACTTCACGCTCATGGTGGCAGGTAAATCCTCGTTTGCAGATTAGCAGATATTTGAGCCTAAACCCACCTTTTACTTTGAAGAAAAGCCTTAAACCTCGCTCGTTTCGTCTTTGTTTGTCTTTGTTTGAAGGGGAGTCTGGCCTGGGAAAGTCCACCCTGGTCAACAGCCTCTTTCTCACAGATCTTTACAAAGATAGGAAGCTGCTCAATGCTGAAGGTAATGCAACCACAGCCTTTGATATACTCACTTTCTGACATGATTTCTGAAGAATTAGCGCTTCAACGTGTCAAAGTTAATGTTAAAAAATGTGTCTTTTTTTCTCCTTTTCCTAGAGCGAATAACACAAACAGTAGAAATCACCAAACACACAGTGGATATAGAAGAGAAAGGTGTCAAACTGAAGCTCACCATCGTCGACACACCCGGGTTTGGGGATGCTGTAAACAACACTGAATGGTACTTAATAATGTTTAACGAATCATCTGATATCTAAGAAAATGAGCAATTTGATAAGATTCACAGAGCACCGCAGGGTAGCCCTGTTGTTCTGCATGTGCAGTAGCTCAGCTGTTGCAGTATTGCCTCGGAGACTGAACGTCCCTGTGTGTTTTATCTCTAGCTGGAAGTCCGTGGCGGACTACATCGACCAGCAGTTTGAGCAGTACTTCAGGGACGAGAGTGGCCTCAACCGGAAGAACATCCAGGACAACCGCGTACACTGCTGCCTCTACTTTATCTCACCCTTCGGTCATGGGTATGACAAATCCGCAGTGCTCTCATTAGGATTAGTCTAACCTCTCTCTCCTAAATGACTCCGAACAATGGGGAACATTAACCCCTCTCGACTGCAGTAATGTCTGTGCTGGCCGTTGCAGACCAGTGACACAGCACTTTTCCCCCTGCACACACACCAGAACACACCACCTGAGTAATTGATCATACTGGACCAGTATTTAACTTCAATGCTTTCAGCCCCATTATTGTAAAAGCCGTGCTCCTGTCAGAGCTAAAGCACTACTCAGCTGCCTTCAGGGGGATTTAGTGCGTCCACTGCAGTGCTTTAGCTCTAATCAATCCTTGGTGCTGACTTGGTGCTTTTTGCTGCCGTTGTGCACATGCACTGTTCCACATAACTGTGCTCATTAAAGAACAAATATTCTGCAAACCTAAGTAATGCTGCAGTGCATGTTCAGAGTCACTGTGATGGAGTAACTGCTCCATCTGTTGATGAGCTTCAGTCATTACTGATGATCAGACACCAGGAGGTCACATAGAGAGCAAACCTCCACCGCAGTGACCGACCAGAGACATCGCGTAATGTCTAACAGTACATTTTATGATTCTAGTGTGCAACTAAAGTCGGGATGAACATTACATTATTTAATGATGTATAGAGGGTAGGGCTGCTCGATTATGGCAAAAATCATAATCTCGATTATTTGGGTCAATAATTGTAATTGCGATTAATAAATGTGATTATTCATTGACTTTGAAAACATCCATTTATTGGAGAAAAAGATGTTGAACAGTATGTTTTTAACAGTTAATTACCCTGAAATTTAAGTATAATTCAACTGAAAAACCAAAAAAAAATAAAGTTATTTAAAAAAATTAAGTAATAATAATAAAAGAATAATTGTTTTATTTCGATTACGTTGTTTTCGTAATCGTTGCAAGCCAAAATCGTAATCGCGATTAAAATACGACTAATTGAGCAGCCCTAATAGAGGGCAGATTCAGACACACCACACACTTCTGCTGGGTCCATCAGTATGATTGAGAGGGATTATTTCTGTACAAATCTATGCATTTCTTTTGAGTAAATCCTCATTGTGGCTTTCATGCTATTGAATGTTTCTTGTCTCTTTTAGCCTCAGAGGCCTTTGGATGTGAGTTTATTGAAAGCTCTACATGAGAAAGTTAACCATCGTCCCCATTCCTGGCAAAAGCACAGACACACTCACCCCTAATGAGGTCAAGAAAAAGAAAATCAAGGCAAGGCTGATCTTTCAGATCTGATCTGGAAACACTGTTGATCTATTTGATCCCATGAATGAAACGTCTTTCCCATTTTCACTGTGTCTTTTCTCCATCTACTGCTCCCCGTAGATCCGAGAGGAGATCGAGCAGTACGGCATCAAGATCTACCAAGTTTCCCCGACTGTGACTCTGACGAGGACGAGGACTTTCAAGCAGCAGGGACCATCAGCTGAAGGTGAGAGCCGAGCTGCCAGATGTTTGGGATTCAACAGGCTGCTTAAGTCAGCAGTGCACACTGAATGGCGTTACACTTATCAGTCAGTAAACAAGATGATTAGCAACCTGATAGCAAGTATACCATCATACATTTGTATTCTTTATTTGACAGGATTTTCATTTTTAGAAGCTTTTGTTTTCATGATGAAAACTGAGAAGAATACTAGTTTGCTTTGTCTAATGCAGGGGTGGGGAACCTCCGGCCCCCGGCCGTATACGGCCGCGAAGACAATTGATACGGCCCTCGAGGGTAATTTAATAAATACACGCAAAAGAAATCTAGACGCAAAAGAATTAAACAAGCGAGAGCCTGTTTTTTCCTGGCCAAGATCAGGTCCTTGAACACAACACGAGCCGAACGTGTCATCACGTGGTATATGTCTCGTTCATGGTCCTCGTGCAGTTCTGACGGTTAGAGCATGGCTCCGTGCAACTCTTCAGATAAGGAGCATACAGCAGTTTTTGCGTGGCTAGTGTCTTTGTTGTGAAGCCCAGTGGCCGATCCTGTCCATCTGTCCATACTGATCATACAGTCAATAACTTTGTTGTTATTAGCATCTGGTTTAGCTACTATGCTAACGAAATATAAGAAGCTTTTTCTTACAACCATTGAGGTAAAAAGCACATCTTTATATGATCATTATAGTTAATACAAAAAATAAGGAGAACAAAGAGAAATGGGTTTATAAAATACTATATGACAGTAAAAATAAGTTGTTATTAATAACAAGAATACAGTTGAAAGGGGAGTGATTGTAAAAATATCCATAAAGAAAATAAACTCTCCTTACAGTTCTGGTTTCATATGGGTGTTGAGAGATGTTATCCATAGATCTCTTAATGTTAGCTCTCAAAGTGCAGCCAGATTGTGGTTTTTAACTTCAACATTTAAAAAAAATCTTGCCGGGGGAGCATGCCCCCATACCCACTAGAGGAGGTTAAGGTGCCTTCCCCCCCCCCACCCACTTTAAATTCATGGTTCACATGGATAGAAACTAAATTAGCACACATCTTGTGGTGCATATATTTTCTGTTTGGTGGTCATGCCAACAACCGTGCACGCATACGCGAGTCAATGATCTTTGAACATGTAGGTATCATTTGGTGATCGTTAGGTTTTTTCTATCAAGATACTGCAGCCCAACGACTACCTTCAGTTATTGATTTAATGTTATGATGTTAAAAAGAAATAGCAAACCAGACCATAGTAAAACAATAGGCTGTCATCAGTCCCTGCTGAACACACACCTCTCCCAGGACTTACGTTTGTTGCTCTCCTCGCATCTATTAGCCGGCTGCGCAGCGAGGCAGTATTTTACTCTCTTCTCTTCTGATGTGGTTAACTTGGCTGCAAAGATATGACAACAAGTGACAAAAGATAAAATAATCATTATATATGATTAGTAAAGATGGTTATTTGACGTAATAATACGTTATGTATGGTTTTCAGTTTGAGTTTATCAGAATTAGCAGTTAACTGTTTAAACATGGCTTATAGGATGCTAATGTCGTAGAGTAAATAGATCAAGTCAATGAATACATCTGCAGTTCTCATCATACATTTTGACCCCAAATCGATCTTGATTGTAGATTGTTTTGATTGTCACGGTCCTTCTCTGTTCTCCCACAGGATAGCGTCCCCACATGAAGGTGTGTAGGCTAATACGAGGCGACTATATCAATACAACCGAGAGGTAAAACTGTCAAATCTTTTCCTCGTTGTGTTCGTTGTACACAGTCACTGTCCAGCCTGTTAAACCTGCATGTACACTTCTGCCCAAAAGAGATCTGTTTGTACAACTCTGTTCAGTTTCAGTACCAGATTTTTCAGAATACATTTCGAATCGGTCCTTTTCTCTTTGTCTCCAGTCAGAAATGTGCCCACCCGTGACTTAGTGAAGATTGAGGAATATGAGGACACATACATCTGTAGGTAGGACCAGGGAGACTAAGGGACACAACAGAGAACACCCGCATGGTGGTCGAAGGAGCTACGTAAACATCAACTGTATCACTAGCGTCCATCGTAGAATGTTTGGAGAAGTTTCAGAGAGTAATCAGTAAATAATCTGTAAAAGTTGTTTTTTGAATTGATGTTTTTGATTGCCCTAGCTATTAAATAAACCGATCTACATTTTAATCTTAGATGTATGTAACTAAAGTCACTAAATAGTCCCTGATTACCTCTTAGATCTAATCGGCTTATTTTAATACTAAAATTAATGATTTACATATAGTTGGAACAGTATGAAAGGAAAGAAGCAGCCATTCAACGCGGTAATACAGCTCACAATTTTATCAGAAGCTAGTCTTGTGTCAATTTAAGGGGGTTCATATTAATCCAAGGAAGAGAAGGCATACAGTTCAATACAAATCACCAACCAGGGCATCCCATAATAAATCCCCACCTCAGTCATGAAGTCCTCAAAGAGAATTAAAACACAATACTCGGTGAAACCCTGAAGAAATGGAATCACAGAAAATAAATTGGAGAATGATTATACATTTGGTAAACGGTTTCCCCCCAACTTAAGTATTTGTGTTTGATACATGGGTTGATAACGTGTCTATATACAGCAGTTTTTATATGCAAATATGTAAATCACAGTAATAATTTCATCAGTGGACCTACACTGAAAAACTGAAAAGTTGATTTAATTGAATGTATTTGTCAACAGATTAAACATAATTGAATTAGGCAATTGGAAAGCAATACTATAAAGTTGAACCTTAATATTGTTTATTTAAACGTAATATTACAGCTCAAAAATATGTGGATCTGTTGATATAAACAAATGTAACTAACGTCAACAGGTCATTTGTTTCAGTGTAGGCTCAATAACCTTTGGTTACTTCCTTCAGGGATAGATACGCAACGTAGTTTGGAAGTTCCTTGAGATATCAAAACGATTTCACCAGATACTTCCTTATGTTATGTTGGTATCATATTCATATGTATAACATGTCTGTCAAACACATTTTTGCTGTAAAGGTGTAAATTTAGCTCTGTCAAAATGCATTTGGTAAAGGGCAGGCTAATTAACTTGAGTCCACGAGGTAGAATTTAAATAAACCATGGGAGGTACGTTTAATAAGTTTGATTATGATTTGATAAGATCCAGCACAGTGCTCTTTACCTGGTGGGTCGGCTTTGATAGTTTTTGGTAATAGACATTTACTTTTGGGCACCATGCATTGATATGACTCTACACAGAAAGACGTGACGTGTATCTGCTGCCAACACAGCTTCCATGCTCAGTGTCTTTTAACAGATATGCAGTTAAATCCCTCTTTCTCTATGACTAGCATGACAATCAGATACAGATGCAGCTTTGGTGATACAAAATGTAGAATTCTCTGTAACGTGTTTCTCTCCCCGCAGTAAACTCACTCCAGAGAGAGGCGGGCACGGCTTCCCCATCCCTACGGTGCCCCGAGTGACGATGAACAGAAAAGCTCATCCGAGAGAAGGACGAGGAGGTACGGCGCGCTGAGCGCCAGAAGGACTCACAGCACCAAAAACACAAGTCTGAACACGCCATGAGCACTCAGAGCCCTCAGCCAAGCGCTAGGGACACCGCAGACACAGAGATATCTCTGGATGAAGCCCTCTGAGAGTTCTCACAGATAAATGGTTCATATATATAGAATTATTGGAAGCACACTCAGGTCATGTTTTTCTGAGGTTGACAATGAGTAGCCTGGAAAAACATGGCGATTAGTGTAAATCAAAACCCCCTTCATCCCCTCTCCTTTTGGCCCTTTGAACTGTCTGTGGGTAGGGAAAGAGAAAATCGTTCATTCAATCCCCATTTTAAAGCTCAGCTTTTATCCTTTTAGTGTCAAACTTGTTCCAGGAAAGTTTCAGACAGAGCGAAATTAAAAACTATTAGTGCGAACTAGGCACTGTACATTTCAACAACATTTGTTTCCCCAAGAGCTAATACAATGCGTTGAAAAATGATATACCATTGGTTTCCTTTTGGCTTTGGTTAGTAAACATATTGTTAGAAGTAAATATCACTTAAAGTAAGATATAATTATAGACTTTTGAAGGCTCATATATTTTTCCTTTTGCGGTATCTAAGATGAGTAGACATACAGTTAGTTTTCATTTTGATCAAACACAGGACTTTTGTTTTCCAAGTTCCTTCCTTTCCCCAACAAAATCCATTAATTTTATCAAATAAAGAGATACATTTTTTCCTCAATTTCAGTTTCAGTCATTTTCCAAGCAGCAAAAATGCATTGTATCAGCACAACAAACATTTTGAAGTCAGAGTGGGCTGTAGGTCAACAGTGATGGGTCATTTCTTACTGTATTCCCTGGAGCAACTTATTATCAATTGATTTCAATATCAAGTGAATTGGGACCCATTCATCCAATTAACAAAATAACCTGAGACTTCGCATCTCACTTTATGTTGGGAAAATCGAGAGTGAAATGGTTTTGTATTTGGGTGCTGTAATTGGGCCACATAATCAACAACAACCCACAAAAATCACAACCACAAAACCTGTTTTGTGCCACAGTTTAACTGGATCCAAAAACCTTCAGATCAGTTCTTCCAGATTCTTATTAACTGCTTTAAAACAAACAGTTCAGCAATGATGAACGGTAAATAATGTTTTGCTGCTTCTGTAATATTGAATCTCTTGAAGTTATCAGCGGCGTCACTGCGGTTGTTCAGGTCACGTGATCTAGAAAAGTCCTGATTTCCCGGGTGGTTATTGATTAGTTGCCTGTGCAGTACGTGTACATAATGACCTGTATTAAAAAAAAAGGGGCTGATATCCCAGATTTCCCATCGCCATGAATCAACTCAGTAGATGATCGGCACTCAACTGTTGTCTCTTTCTCCTCACAGTTGCGGCAGATGCAGGAGAATGCTGGGAAGATCCAGGATCAGGATTCAAACTGCAGAAATACCATAACACATGGACAGTGTCTCTCTGTAACTGG